AAAAAAAAAAAGAGAGAGAGAGAGAGAATGATGAGAGTACCTATTTCATGGAACCCTCAACATTATGGTACATAATCATTTAAATAATTTTCACTTACTGTTACTATTGATTTTGTCATTTTTACTATTAAATACCTTTCCATATCATTTCACGGTAGTATTTCTGATTTTCTGTTTGTAAATTTTACACTATATTGAGATCAAAGTTTTCTCCTCATCAAATGATAGGAATGTTTTCTATAATAAAAATATGAATCATATTAATTAACCAGTCTTTTATATGTTACAAATATTTTTCTTATTGCTTTCTGCATTTTGCCTTTGCCACCACTTTTGACTACAGCATTCATTTTTAAAACATTAAAAATTTTTATTTTTTAAATTTATTTTTAATAGAGATAGTGTCTTGCTTTGTTGCTCAGGCTGATCTTGAACTCCTGGGCTCAAGCGATCCTCCAGCCTCAGCATCCCCAGTAGCTGGAGCTAAGATGCCTATCACTGTACCTGGCTAGCATTTGTTGTTATATAGTCAAATTTACAATCTTTTCTTTGTGATTTTTTTCTATTTCCATTAATAACAATCACATAGATTTTTAAAATAAAGTTCTAGTTTTAAAAAATTAACTCTTTTCTAGGAATTTATTTTCCTGGTATATTGATAACTTTTTTTTCCTCAAATTACTTTCCAATCCAATTTTTCTGGTATTTTTTGAATAAACTCTCCTAATTGAGTTCTGATGCCTTCTATCAAATTTGTGACAGAAATTCTTATTAGACATTGGTCTAATTATACCATACTACAGTTAAAGCATTATTCAATAATCCCTTGAGTTTAGAACAAGAGTCAGTTTTAAGATACCCCTTTCCATCATTCCACAATGTATGCATTTAACAGAATACCACATTGTACCCCCTAAGTATATACAATTGAAAATTATTTTAAAAATAAAAAGCAAATAAATAAAATCCCATCTTGCTCTGATACTCAATGAGGTTTAGTCAATGAAAAGGATAGGATTAAAAGTGCTCCAGCTCTTACAGTTTAAGGAAAGCACTTATAAGATTCCCGTGTATATTGGCAAAAAGGTACAATTGTTCTGATAACCGGTTTAACAAGTTTTAAAAATCTCAACAATCTAAATAGTTCCATTTATAACAAACAACTTTCGTTAACAGACTTGCAACTACTTTTACAAAAAGATATTTACCAGTCTTTTTTGATTTAACACTTGTTCTAAAAGAGTAGGTCTTGCAGGACGATCCCCCAAAGATCCTGTTCTTTGTTTAACAATGGAGAGTATGTTATCTGCACTTTCCTGGGATAAATGATAACAAAAAAGATTAACAGTTAATATAACAGTCCATAATTATAGGAATTTCAGTGATGTAATAAACAGGTCAGTGCTTTTCCTCCTTCTTGCCCCATCCCTGTGAAACTCAGAAAGCCCCTTGTTTTCACAGGCAAGATACCCACAGTTAATTTTATGTAACACTCCTCTCTCCCTCTAGAATTTCCAACCTAGGTTCTTCACTCTCTCCATGTGTCTCAAAATTAATAGTGGGGGAGATGTGGGAGGAGGGAGGCAAAGAAATATTTGTGAGTTATTTTCAGTATTACAACAAATGCCAAGCGGAACTGAACATTATATAAAGCTATCCAGGCCAAAACAGAGTCTGCCTGCTTTTGGATGGAATATATAAACTCAGAGGCAATTTACATATTACTTAATGAGACATTCTAATTGATGGCTTTTTGCTCAATTAACAACCAAAACAAATGGAGAGGAGGCAGTAAAGCACTGCTCAAATAAGTAACTGATAACCAAAGCTTTCAAAATTTTTAAGTCACTAGGAGATAAATGACACTAGCTTGAAAGAGCTAAAAATCACTGGTATAGTCTCTAGCTACTGCTATAGACAAAACATATTGAATCCTGAAATCATACCATTACTCTGAGACATCACTACTCAAACAAAATTAGCAACACTTACCACCAAATATCCACCCCCCATTACCTGAGAGAATCCTAAACACTATTCTTCTAGCATTATAACATATTGTTTAGTTAAATGAAATATTCTAACTCTTTATAAAGTCACAATACTAACCACATCCAAAATTTCTTATGAACCAAATATAAAACTGTATTTTATTTATTTTAAGACAGAGTGTCACTCTGTCACCCTGGGCAGAGCGCTGTGGCATCATACCTCTCAGCAACCTCAAACTCTTGGCCTTAAGCGATTCTCTTGCCTCAGCCTCCCAAGTTGCTGGGACTAACAGGCACCCACCACAATGCCTGGCTATTTTTTCAGTAAAGATGGAGGCTCATTTTTGCTCAGGCTGGTCTCAAACTTCTGAGCTCAGGTGATCCATCCACCTAGGCCTCCCAGAATTCTAGGATTGTTAAGTGTGAGCCGATGCCTGTACCCAGCCAACAATATAAAACTATAAATGTTTAGCCTGAAGCCACACCTCATATGAATTTAATCTCTTTGCTATTCATTTAGAATATTATTTAAGCTGCTTTTTCTCTTAGCCTTCTATTAGCCTTAGTTATCTATGAGAATATCTCCCTTACTGCTCACATTATAAGAAGTTTACAAACCTGATGTTACAAATTTTACGCCTCAAAATGTAAAAGCTATTAAAGGAGGATTGTAACCTGATGTTACAAATTTTACATTTGCCTCAAAATGTAAAAGCTATCAAAGGAGGATTCTAATACCCAGAGGAAACAAAAATAATTTCTTCCCCTTCCCTCCCCAAAGAGTTAACTTTATTTATGGGACTCTCATTTTTATGTGCACAATAGTGAAATTCTGAAATTGACTTGAAGGCCAGTATCCTCTACCTTTAAAACCTCAAAGCACTATATATTTAGACAGTTAAAATCACAAAATCAAGGTTAATATCACAAATAATAGACATTTGTAGTGGAAATAACCTTGAGTTATCTGGTCCAAAGCTTTACAAATGTTGGAATTTTTTTAAAAAAATTCTCAAAGCTTTTTGTCCTAAGGGGTTTATCAACTTTTGAGGTACTTCATTTGGTTTTGAATAGCTCTAACATTTAGGTAGCTTTTACTTAAGCTGACCTGAAATATATATACACCTTGTGCTTTTGACTAAGAGTCCTAGCTACTTCAGCATTATGCAATATAAATTTACTGCTTCTTCCAAATAGATAGCCTCTTAGGTATTCAATAATAATAAACCCAATCTACACATGCCAATTATTTTATCCCTAGTCCCTTTATCTATCATATAACACAGTTCTTAGACATATGGACTAGATATTATACACATCTATCCTTATTTAACCTTGAATTTTATAAGAAATGCTGATTTTAAATACCTTAGTTTCTCATCTTGCTGTTCACATCATGGCAGAAGATGCCCATTATCACCTCTCAGCACTACTATACTAATCTAGGGTCTCAAAATCTATATGCCAGTGTTCTTCAACCTTTGTTATCTCACGGCACATTTGAACCTATAGTTAAACTTCCATGGCACACTTAAATTATGTTGATAAAAAGAAAAGAGTAAAAAATACATATGCTTACTGTGCTTTGAACATCTTTTGGAAATAATTTAATTAATGATCATTAAAAGTTTTCACAGCACACCTTAAATCCTCTCATGGTACACTGGCTGAAAATCACTACTACAGGCCCTCACCTTTAATCTCTCAAGTTAGAGTAGGATCCTGTTATTCTCTAATTAGAAAATTAGTGAAAATTCCATTTAAAGACTCCAAACCTCAAACCTATAACCTGGAATACTATCCAAAATCTAGCTTCACTCTATTTTTCCAAATTTCTCTCTCATAAATTTTCCATACAACTGTTTCATCTTAGCTAGAATGGTCCACTTGCTATTGTCACAAAAGGGTCCTATATTTCTCCTTCCTTTTTTTTTTTTTTACTAAAATGTGCTTTTCTTTTCTTTTACCTCCCAGACAGCAGAGAGGCAGTGTAGTCTGGGGATAAAAGTGAAGGCTCTAAAACCAGATTGCTTGAGTCTGAGTACAGTACTTGCTGGCTGTATGAGCTAGGCCAAGTTACTCCACCTCTCCGTGCCTCAGTTTCCACATGTATAAAACACAGTCCCTACCTCATTGCTGAAGGGTTGTGAGACTCCACAACCACTGAGCTTGGCAGTGTCTGGCACATGAGAAACTTACCCAATTAAGCATCAACTACTGGCCTTTTTTTTGACTTATACTTTCTCATATTTCCTCTTCAAAATCTTTCCAGAGTATCTCAGCCTACAATGATGTTGATGTTAGTCCCCCTCTGAACTAAAACAGGACTATATAGTTAGCCCTTATTACATCCCACTGTTGCTTTTTTTTTTTTTCATATATATATACTCAGTTCCAAAGACAAAGATTTACCTGTTCTCATAACCTCCTCAGAACTGGTAAAAGCTCCCATATAGCAATTAATTCTCCTCCCTAAAAAGTCATGCAAATTATTTCAAAATCGTAAAGCTGGGCATGGTAGTGAGCATCTATAATCCTAGATACTCAGGAGGCTGAGGTGGGAGACCTGCTTGAGCCTCCCAACCTGGGCAATACGGTCAGACCTCATCTCTAAAAGAATAAAACAGTAAAATCATTAAGGTTCTTTTTATGGGAGGTACCAAGGGAAACTCTAATTCATTATCTATTTGCCTTTTATAAATTTTCCTCAAACTGTAGATGTAAATGCTGAGTAAAAAAGGAGTGTAAAGAAAGCAGCTATACTGGCTCAGTGCCTGTAGCTCAGTGAGGAGGGAGCGGGCCACATACACCAAAGCTGGCAGGTTCGAACCGGGCCCGGGGCCTCCTAAATAATGACAACTGCAACCAAAAAATAGCTGGGAGCTGGGGTGTCTTTAGTCCCAGCTACATGGGAGGCTGAGGCAAGATAATCGTTTAAGCCCAAGAGTTTGAGGTTGCTGTGAGCTGTGATGCCACTGCACTTTACCCAGTGAGACTCTGTCTCTAAAAAAAAAGAAAGTAGCCAGAAGAAAGTACTTCCTCCTTGAAAATAAGTATTATCTTCTCAACTCTGAAGTTAATGGGCACCTCTCGAACAAAATGAGGAACACATACGATCACCTTTGTTAACTTCTAGTCTACATTAAGTGAGATGCTTACTTCCATAAATCCCTATCGCATCAACTTTTAGGGCAAGCCCTCATTAACTCTCAGTCACCAGCACAGGCGCTGCAAACCGAACCGTCAGGAAACGGGTGGGCAGATACGTAGCAAGATGGGGTTTCTTCTACCAATTCTCCCCCCCACCCCCACCTCGTCCGAGCTAAGGTCGGATACCTCCAGTTTGACGTTTCCCACGCTGCCAGCGGAGGCAGTCCCGCCACAGTTCAGGGCCTGGTCGCTCTTCTTCTTTTTGTACTTGTCCTTGTACATCTTGTTGCGGTGTTTCTTGCACATCCAGGGTTTGCGCTGCTTGGCCACCTGGCTCGTGGTCTCGCTGCAGCCTTCGTAGGTACAGGTCTTGCTCATGTTGCTCCCACCGCTGCCCCGCCTCCGGGCTCCGCCGCTGCTGCCCTCGCCCCCTGAGTGGACCTCCTCGTCCTCCAGATCCTCCAAACTAGCCGTGCTCTCGCCTCCCCCCGGGGGATCCGACGTGTCCAGCAGATCCGCTTCGTCCTCCCCCGCCTCCTCCTCGCCATCCCCGGGAACTTCACACAGATACCTGACCGGCTCGCACACCCGGACGCTACTCCCGGGGCCTGGGGCCTGCCTCAGGACGCCCTCGGCCGCGGCCTCCTCCTGCCCCCCACAGGGATGCATCACCAGCAGGGTGAACTGCGAGGCCGGCGCCGCCGCCACGGGTGCCGCGGTCAGGGCCGGGGCCGTGGCAGGAGCTAGGGCCCCGGGACGGGGCACGCCTCCGGCGACGTCCGGCCCCGCACTTTCCGCTACACCCTGCACCTCCGTGCTGCCGAAGCTTGGCCGGGGTCCAAGACCCCAGAATTTCGGCACCTGCCGGGCCCAACGGCGCTTCGCAAATGAAGCACTGCAGACACAAGAAAGGAAAAGGCGCCGGATCCGCGGACGCACGTCTACTGCGCCTGCGCAGTCGCAGTCCGCACGTACGCTTCCGAACGTGAGCCGGCCCGCAAGCTCTCCGGGAAGCTGGGGGTCATCGAGGGGCGGGGCTGAGCGCCGACGAGCGGGACAGACTGCGCATGTGCGGCCCTCTTGTCTAGGTCCGCCTTTTCTTTTTCCCCCTGCCTGAACCTTCTGTACCAAAAACTTTTCTACTGGAATTTCACTGTGTAAATTCAGACTGTTCCTGAGCAGCCTTATGAATTGTGGCGTCAGGACGCTGATTTCGATGATTTTTCTCCCCAACCTGCCTGAAACGGGAGATTGGAAGATGGCATGTAAAGGTGTCACAATCTGGAGCCACTAGTTTGCAGCCTATGAGGGCAGAGGAAAACTGTGGAGTGGAGAAAGACTGAGCCAGAACTTTGGGCAAGTTGTATTTACGTTGAAGGATGAATGATTTACTTTTTATAAATTTGTAATTCTCTTTTGGGGACTCAATTAATTCTGGCCTCTAAGTCTTAAGATTTTCATTAAACACAGTGAAAGTGTGTGAAAAGGAATATTGAATGACTAGTGTTTAAAAAAACAACAACAAACCATCTATCATCTATCATGTCTACCACTTGCTAGACAACTGTCAGTTTTGACCAAAGCCCCATATGGAACAGATCTGCTGTATCCCGTTAAGTAGACGCTCTACTTCTGTTTATTCCTTTCTTTCGCCTAGTCATGTTTACCATTCGGCCTATAGGAAAGCAGTGACTATTCATCAAATGATAGATCTAGTCACACTAAGATGTTTGCATGTTGACGTCTGCGTAAATCAGTTATATTTCAAATAGAGGCACAGGGAGAAGGTTTGGAATTAGATATGGGGGTACTGTTCTTTGTGCCCAGAGCAAGTTAGTGACAGCTTCTCCGAGCCTCAATTTCCTCATTGATGAAAGTCAGCAGTCAGTGGCGTGCTAGAATCAATTGATGAGACCTGGTTGCTGAAATTTAAGGAATTTAAAGAGGTGAAGAATTAAATACTGCTATTACTGAAAATCATACTACATAAACTTAAATGTAAATTATATTAAACACAAAGTTTAGAATACTTAAAACTAATCACTTTCTAACAATTTTGTGACATTGTACCATTTTGTGTGCTCTTAAGGCTATGACTATCTTGTCCATATGTGGAAATACTATTTAGTAGTGTGATACTGATACCAGAATTTTGCTCTTCAGTAGGTTCTTGGTTTTGGTGATTCAAAGAAAGACAGATCAGTGGTAAGACAGGATTTATTTACGGAAAAGAATACAGAAGTGCCAGAGCTCTTGGCAGAGAGAAAAGTGGAGTCAGGAGAGAAAAGTGCTCTCTCTCCTTCTCTGTCTGTCTGTTTCTAGGCTCTTTGTCTAAGGGTATATATAGTCACATGGGGCCCTTGATAAGTTCATAGATGTTCTCCAAGGGTTAGGACAAAGCTTTGACCTCTCTTGGAGAGATGTAATGTTAGTACGAGATCAAATGTTAAATTTTAATGAAAAAAATGAAGTCTTAGATGAAGCTAGAAAGGGGGGTGATTTGTGGTTCATGTCCAATACTGATACCAGCATGTCCTCTGAGGACAGGGACAAATCCCCATGGGAAGACAGGCAGTTCCCTTTGAGGATCCCTAATGGGACACTGAGAAACGAGGTGACTGGTGGCGTAAACATTTTCTAACACGTATCCTGGAAGGTTTGTGTCAATCCAAGAAAAAGCCTATGAACTATTCCAAGTTATCCACTATTAACCAGGAGCAAAATGAGAGTCCCTCAGCCTTTCTTGAGCAGCTTAGGGAGGCGATGAGAAAACACACTCAGTTAACACCCAGCTCTTTAGAGGGCCAAATTATTTAAAAAGATAAATTCATCACTCAAGCAGCCCTAGACATTTAAAGAAAACTCTAGAAATTGGCTCTAGGCCCAGATCATAACCTGGAGAATCTTCTTAAAATGGCCACTGTGGTCTTTTATAACCAAGATCAGGAGAAAGAGGAGGAAAGAGAGAAAGGGATATGAAAAGAATGACAGCCTTAGTACTGGCACGCTGACAAATGAGCACCTTTCAGGGGCAGAGGGAAGCCAGAGGAACTAAGAACAAGTGCTGCCAATGTGGTCAGGCTGGCCACTTCAGGAAGCACTGCCCCCAGCAGCACCACCGGCTGGGCAAGCCACTTGGCCCCTGTCCAGAATGCAAGGGTGACCACTGGAGGGTGGCCTGTCCTCAGAGGCAAAGGCCTCTGGAAACAGTGATCCCATCAGCACCCAAACTGGACTCGGTGCCCAGAGCAGATTCTCATGGCTGCAGCTTATGTCATCAACCCTCAAGAGCCCCAGGTTTGCCTTATAGTGGACGGCCAAGAGATAGAATTTCTTCTAGACACTGGAGCAACCTTTTCTATACGTCTCTCTAATCTTGGTCTTATACCCCAAATGTGTAACTATACAGCGGGTATCAGGAAAGCCAGTTACCAAATTTTTCTCTCAGCCTTTAGGCTGCAATTGGGATGACTGGCTGTCCTCTCACGCCTTCCTAATCATGCCCGAAAGTCCTGCTCCCCTTTGGGGAAGGGACATACTAACTAAAGCAGGAACAACCATTAATATCAATATGGGACAGGAACCTATATTATGCCTTCCCTTATCAGAGACAGAAGTTAACGTAGAAGTGTGGGCTACGGAGGGACAGGTGGGAAGAGCAAGATATCTTCAACCAGTCAAACAGGTGTTACAAGCCATTCATGCTGCACAAGAAGCAGCAGTTATTCATTGTAAGGGACACCAAAAGACCTTAAATGAGGTTTCTGGCGGTAACCAAATTACTGATAAAGAGGCTAAAATAGCGGCACAGAAAGGAATAATTCCCCTTGTGGCACCCCTTATTTGGGAGGGATCATTTGAGAATCATGCACCTCAATAGTCCCAAAAAGAAAAGGAATGGGCTTTATCCAGAGACTATTCACTACTCCCATCAGGCTGGCTACAAAATAGAAGTGGACTTTTGCTATTACCTGCCTCAAGCCAATGGAAAATACTTAAAACTTTACATCAGTCTTTTCATTTTGGCACTGAAAGTACTTATCAAAAAGGCCAAAGCTCTCTTTAACAGAAAAAACTTATTTAAAACCATAAAACAGATAACAAGGACTTGTGAGGTATGTCAAAGAAATAATCCTTTAAATCACCATCTAGCTCCCCCAGATATACAGAGACAAGGTAAATATCCAGGTGAAGATTGGCAAATAGATTTCACTCACCTCCTTACTCCTCAAGTTAAACAAAATTATCAACCAACATTTACGTCAAAAGTACACTTTTTGTCAATGATGCAAGTAACTACTTTGCTGAATTGGATAGAAACCAAGCATTTATTCTTAGTTTAAATTTTTGACATTATTGTTAGTGAAATGACTATAAAAACTGGTAGAGGTTTTTGCAAGAAACATCAAGTCACATTGAAGTATTAGTGTATGGAATTTGCAGAGTACTATATATTTTATCATTGTAATTTATGTGCTAAACATTCTTTATATCATGTGGAGACACACTCAGACCCCCAGAGTTGGTATGAAGGGCATTTTAAGCTGAAGACATTTGAAATTCAATAAATGCAGAAAGAAACATAAAGGAAAATAAAATCTCATGATCCGCCTCCAATCCCTTATGCAAAAGGGAAGGCCAAGCTTGGAGGCTGAGTGATAGAACACCCCTTACTAATACCATGCATTAGCCAGATGCCCACAGAAGGGTAGAAGGCCTCAGGCCTATACAAGGCAGATCATTTACAAGGAAATTCTTTCCTGGCCCTCCATAATAAACAAGGACATGCCATTCATAGCTTTAGGTCTGCAGTCTAAGTCTACCTCCGAAAATGAGAGTCTGTTTGATAATGTTAATTCCGAGGTTATCATCCCAGGTGCAGATTTTTCTGCCACCTGCCCAGAAATGTCTAAATAGTTGATTTACTCCCTTATCCTCTTTAAACGTTCACCTTATCTTATGTAAAATGTCAATTTCCTGGGCAGTAACTAAAGTGTCACGAGAATGTAACCTTTTGTCTTACTACCTACTTGCCCCTTTTCTTACAAGTCCTTTCCTCCACTTTAAGGAAATCTATAAATACTTATAGCAGCCCATATAGTCTATGGCTAGGAGGAGTGAGAGTTAGAAGAAATACCTGTATAGTTCAATAATGGAACACCTTGGTGAAAAGGGCATGGAGAGGGATTTAGCTCTCCTAACAAGCATGAGAGCTTGAGAGATGAGAGCAGTGGTGAATTGGCAGTCTCTACACCTCTGGTGTTGGGAGGCACAAGATCAGCCTTATATTAGGCTGTAGGAGAAGGCAGTCGGGAGCATGTGAATTCTATCATGGACCTGCCTCCTTTGACTCTGCCTCCTCAGAGGCACCTGCCTGCAGAACACCAGCACGGCATCTCTCTGCTGAAGATCACTAAGCTCTGCTAAAGACTAATATCTGTCTTTCTAAGAAGACTGCTTTACTCTAAGACTCTCTCTCTCCTGCTAACGTAGATAACCCTCAGGCACCTAAGAGAAATTGTTCGTGAGCAAGGTAGCTTAGCAGTCCTCGTCATCTGGAACCTACTTGAGCCAGGCCTAAGTCCTGGCCAGTCCCGGGCCCTGACAAATAGTAAACCTCCTGAAGGTTTCTTCCAAAAAGAACAATAACAGATGCTTCTGTGAGTTGTGTTTTTCCTAGACATGCCCTAAAGTTGGCTTAATAAACCTTGATTGAGATCCTTGTGTCAGTCACTCATTTTCAGTTAACAGAAGCCTGTTCAGAGCTTCCTTTATCTGACTAAAAGCAGAAACTTCTGAGAAATAAGGACTGCCATAAATTTCCTCCTGGGGCAACTTCTATACCCAGGAGACAGACCAACAGTAAGCCTACCATAAAGCCATGACCTCATGACCATGATTTTAGAAATCACAAAGGCCTCACTGTCACCTACATAAACAAACATCACCACAAACTTCCTTATCTCCCATTTAAAAACCCTAAAAACCCATTTGTCTTTTCCAAAGAAAGCTATGTAGTCAGCCCATAGGAACCTTTTCTCCCCCTTCCATTTCCCTGCTAATTTAAGTATATAAGCCTCAAATTTTAGGATCTTTTTCAATGCACTCCTCTGTGTAGGTAGCTCTCATAAATAAACTGTATTTCCCATCTTTTGTAAGTTTACTTTGTAGTCCCCCAGGCAATAAATGTAGGAGGGTAGATGAAAATAATTTTTCATTAACAATCATCAGTTAACCAGTTGTTAAAAATTGACCAGGTATATTACTGAGGACAGTATTTAAATTTTAATACAAATTCCTGTATAGTGTTCATGAATGACAGTGGGTTATTAAAAGAAAACACCCTACTTTTTTGAGGAGTAATTTTGCTATGGTTTGAATGTGTCATCCAAAAGTTCATGTGTTAGAAACCTGCTTTCCATTAGAACAGTATTAAGAGGTGGAGCCTTTAAGAGGAGATTAGCTTTACATTTATGCATAAATTAATGCACTTATTGAGGAAGTGAGTTATCATAGGAGTGGGCATGTGATAAAAATCCCATTTACTCTTTTTGTGTTTGCTCCTTCCTTCTGCCCTTTCACCCTGGAATGACCTTTGCCAGGTGCTGGCACTGTGCTCTTGGACTTTTCAGCTTCCAGAGCTGTGAACCAAATAAACTCTTGTTCTTTA